ACCACGCCTCCGCCTCCCCCGCCTCCCGCGACGTCGCTGCGCTACGGTACCGGCGTCGGCGGCGTCAGGGCGCTCCGCGGCCGTCGATTTACGCGGGATTCCTCCGCGGGAACAAATAGTGCCCTGTGATTTCAGTGGCTGTGCCTCGGCTTATCCCACGTCAACAAGTACGGCTTAGAGTTTCAGGCGACGTGGGGTGCCTACGCCTCACAGTGATTTTTGGGGCTTAAAGGTGGCAAAAGCTGCCCCGCAGATAAAGGTGGCAAGGACCAGTTGTCTCGGACCCTTTCCAAGGGGCCCATGCACTACAGGAATGTTGCCTCGTGACTTTCCCCGCCCTCCAACCTCTGCCACCTCACGGTAGTGACAGGGACCTTAGCCTTTACAAGAAACCAGGCTCCCTTTCCGACCTGGAACCCTGAGGAGGCTACAGGCCCCACCAAGGCAGAAGTGGACCTTCCCTCAAAATACTCTTCCTTTCAAAACCTCACTAAGCCCTGATTCTAGGCCTACCTCTGCAGCGGCCTTTCTTTTGCTCAGTCATACTTTTCCTCTACTTAAACAAAGGACATGGAACTCTAAAGGTCCTTCTGACTCTCAGGTTCACTGTCCCAGTTATGGTCCTGCTATCAACAGGTGGAGCATTAAGAAAGGTAGTTTGGGCACCTTCTGGACTTTGGAATTTACTTCTACGTCAGTCTTCATTGATTAACTATTAGCACTGATATTCTTCCCTGTAATTTTACACTTGATTACAATGAGATGTACTATTTACTGTTGCTTGATTAAAGATGGTAGAATTCTCCATACGATACTCAGAACATTTAAACTCAGTAGATATTCAGTATTTGGATACTGGGGCATTCTCTAGATGAATGCTAGGTTGGTCAGATGAGAAGGCTAAAAGAGACCTGAATGACTTGGCCTTGGAAACTTGTTTTGATCTTAATGGGATCAAAGACCTCCAGTATTTAGAGTTCTGAACACTCCATTCCTTCAACAAATATTGAACATCGGCACTTTGCTAATCATGTCCATACCCTGCATCCTGAGGATATGAAGTATTCACATACTCCTTTCTATATGATACCCTAGCAAGATTCTGAAGATTCAGTCACCCATTCATCCAAATATACTTGCCAGTCACTGCTGTTTGCCTCATACTACGGTACTTTAGTGCTCAAGATGTTTGAGCAGAAGAAAGAGAAAAATGCTCTCTCTCTTGGAGCTTTCATTCTAGTATGGGGACAAAGGTGAGAAACATAAAATACGTTAGGTATTGAGTGCTATAGGCAAAAAATAGGTTAAGGGTTGGTCATGAGGAACACTGGAAGAGACAGTGAAATACTAAATAGAGCTATCAGGATGAGCCCCATTTATAATACAACTTGAAGGAATTGGGGGAAAGAACCATGCAGTTATGGCGAAAGCATTCCTGAAAATGTTAGAAATAGTGAAGAGGCCGGAGCAGTTGGAAAATAAAGATTGGAATATCAGGACAGGAAGGGGAGGCTTGTAGGGATACTTTAAGAATCTTGACTAAAACAGAATCACTCTGGCTTGCTTTGCTAAGAGCAGATACAGTGGACCCTTGACTTATGAACTCAATTCATTCTCAGGGCTGGTTGTAACTCAAGTTGGTCAATTGAAGGCTCAGTCTCCTCTACACAGCCTTCAAAGTTTCTCTCCTGTATACAGGCAGATTTCAATGTCCTTAGACATTGGCCCAAGATTTCTCAATTAACTCCATATAGGAAAGGATGTTGTAATGTTCCTTCCAGAACTCTGTATCTGAGATCATCTGGAAGCACAAGGAACCGGCATACAAGTTGTAGCCCAATACTGTCTGTAAGTTAAAAACCAAACTTCCAGTCATAACCCAAGTTGTTTGTATGTCAGGCAAAGGATTCACTATTAGTAACTCAAGGATCCACTAGCTGTAGGGTAATGGTAGAAGCCAAAGGCTTCATTATCCAGGTGCAGGCTGATGGCTTGGCCCAGAAGGGTAGCAGTGAATAGAATAAATAAGATACAGATTGTATAAGAACTCATAGTGGATTATATAATTACAATACACTGTGATAATAAAAATAGTATCCTGAAAAGTGGGTCAACTTTGCCAGCTTTCCTGAGAGAGGATAAACATTCCCAGAGCCCCAAGTTGCTAAGGGAATTGGAAATTCGTGGTTCTTTGTTGGTCTATTGGGTGGATCCTCCATAACAATAAACGCTGGCCTGTCTCCCAGTCCTCTATGTCTCAAAGCTCACCTTCATCTGAGTGGGCTGTAGATAGAAGAGTACTAAAGAACAATCTGGGTCATGTATTTAAGGAGATGAACAAAGCTGTTGTTTCCATCACTTGAAGAAACTGAGGCTAGTAGTCAGTGTGTGGAGGGTTTTGTTTGTTTGTTTGTTTTGGAGACAGGGTCTAGCTATGTGGTTCAGGGCTGGCCTTGAACTCAAGGCGGTCCTCCACTCTTTGCCTCTCAAATGCTGGGATCACAGGTGTATCCCACCATGTCCAGTTTAGAAGATTCTCTCCTGAGGCTAGGATCAAGGTCATGGAAGTCCCAACCGAGGAATCTGAGCCACTTGAGTAAAGTCAGCCAGAGGATGGAGTGAAAGAGAAGAAAGACTTGTTCTCAGACTTTAGTTCCAAGTCTAGATTTTGGCTCCCATTCACCACCTCCTCATCTTACAAGCCTTGAGCAACAGCTCTTCCCCTCTCAATCTGAGATTCCAAAATGCTTCTTTAAAGTGCTTGTTCTGGGATAGTGGGGCATAGAACTCAGGAGAGAACAGAGCTGGATAGCTAGTTGCCAGAGTGGGGTGGTGTGAAGGGGATCAGCTTTTACAAAGTATTAAAAGGTGGAGGAGCAATTAAGTTGTGCTGCATATGGAATTTGTGCTGAATTAAAAGAGTTTAAAGTTTAGCTGCTCTTACCATAAACAATAGATAACTGTGAGTTACTGGATATTAATTTGCTGTGCTATGGTATCCTGTTTACTATCTATATGCATCTCACAACATTTATGGCTTCAATACACACAATAAAATCTATTTTTTAAAATGTTTAAAGAAAAGGAAAAGGAGCATACCCTCCCCCCCCAAAAAAAAAGATTGTGATAGACATAGCAACAGAAGGGATTCTGGAATATTGTGAGAAGGAAAAGTTGCAGGGTGTGGGGGTACATGACTATAATCCCAGCACTAGGAAGGCTGGGGCAGGAGGTTTGCTGTGAATTCAAGGCCAGCCCTGACTACATAGTGAGATCAAGGCCAACCCAGATTACAGAGTAAAACACTGTCTCAAAAAAGAAAAAAAGTTTAAAACTCAAATTGGAAAGACAGGCTTAAGGGTCAGTTTTTTAAAGATGTCAAAAGACAGCAACAGTTGACTTTGCAGCCACTGCCCTTCTTGTTCTTGCAGTGATCTGCTCTGCTTGCAGGAAGTATCTTTTTTCCTTTAAAGCACCCTTTTCTCCTTGAGCACTTCTTTTGCACTTCTTTTCCTTTTCTTCTTATTTCTGCCCTGTGTAATCTTTCACATTTACCAATTGTCTTGACCAATTCATTGAACAGGACAAAAAGAACCTGGAAAACTCTTCTGGTCCCTACTCCACCAATAACAAGGGGGTAAATTCTCAAAAGACACAGAGTGCTCTGAGAGATAAGGGTTTTATTGTTCTGTATTGTGATCTTTTCCCAGCTTCCTCTGTATTATAAATTCCCTGGAAGGAACACAGCCCAGAGGTAGGCTGCAAGAGCCATACAAAAACCTTTATTTAGCACTTGCAGTACTTCAACAGCTGGGTGTGCAACACTTCATGTGACCCATGACAATTTAGGCAAATGATGTATTTCCTAATCCTTTTCTCTCTTTGTATTTGTTGTTAGAGGAAAGGAAAATGAGAAATAAATTTAAAATGAGCTGAGATCTGCAAGAGGGAGAGAGAAAAACAAGAGGCAACCTCTCCTATCATTCCCAGCCCTGGAAGACCCTTCCAGATTCCCTGAGTATCATTACATAATATGTATTTCATATCTTAAATGCAAAAAAAAAAAAAAAAAACTGTAATACAGGCCATTGGGAAGCTCTCAGCCCAGCACCACTTACCTACTTGATGACAACACTCGGGTGTTAGTCTCTATGAATATTTAAATAGCATTCAATAGTCATTTATTGAGTACCTACTCTATACCAGGCATTGTGCTAAATACTGAGAGTCAAAGAGAATAAATAAAACGATACATGTAAACAATTTCAGTGCAAATCGGTAGAGATTTATACTTGTGCCATGGAAACAGCAGCAAAGAAGCAAGCTTTAAATGTTGGATGATGTAGATTTTGCAGGCATCGGGGTGGGGAGCTTCACCTTTAAAAGGTAAGGGAAATGCTGGGTCTGATGTGTAGACAGAACCAAGTTTGGGAGTAGAGGAAAAATTGGTGGGGTGGAGGGCAATGGAGAACAGCTTGGTGATGTCAAAGAGAATAGGCATAGAAAGAGAG